GCCATCTTCCTCTCACACTTGATTGCACACTGTGATTTGTAAGCACAGAGGAAGAGAACTGGGGTGAGACTTGGGCACTGATGTCTCCTTTTAAATGACCCACAAAGGAAGGAGAGGGCTTGGAGATGACTCCTGGTGTCACCAAGGCAATTACCACCACTGAACCTAGGGATGGTGCCTTGGCCAAGACAAACCTTCATTACAGCTTTCTCTAATGTAGTGTAACACAGTCAGTCCTCCTTAACTTGCATATTCATGAGGTCTCACTTACACAACCATTTTGACCACATAATGCAGAGGTTTTAATCCTGACAATTTCAGGTTAAGATTCCATTTTGTGAAGAAGCAATCAATTACAGATGCCGTCTTTATCAGAATAGTGCAGTTATTCTGAATTTTTCTAAATATAAGGAAGAAGAACTTCTATGTGTCACAAGCCATACACTTATTCTGGATCATCTCTGAGCTCTCATCACAGGTTGGAAATTCTAGCTATGCTTCTCTAAGTCCTTCTTCTAGATAAGGTTTAGTTTACTTACTTTCCCTACTCTCTTGAACATTAAATTCAGTTGGTTATTTTGCAAAGGTGAATCGCCTTTTTAAGGTAAAAATATAGCTTCTAATTGAAGGGAAGGTTGACCCATTAACAGCAGAAAATTTTGCAGTCTTCAAAAATAAACCTTCACCTGTGACAGCATCTTAACCACAATATGGGAGAGAGACCCCACATCTCCATCAATTTCTATAAACCAATGGTATTCCATGTAAGCTAAAGAGCTTATCCTCTCTGCTTAAAATGGAATGAAAATACTGATTTTCTCCCCTATTTTATTTTTCCATATTTATATTTTATCATATTGTATCTTTGTCAATCAATTATATTTTTGTTTCTTATTCTCTTTTACCTTTAGAAATAGAGCCTTTCTTAAATACAGTGTTAACTTGGTTATTTCATTTCCAGCCTGAACTGTTGAACTCACAGTGTTTGATGGCATTCAAAAGTAGGCAAAAGCACAGAGCTCTCACCTCTTGTTTTAAAATAGCTGCTTATATGGACCATGAAGAATAAGCCAAGGTTAATTATCTTTATTATTTTTTTGCCGTTTAAAAAAAGGGGGGAAACACCCAACTGGGTGGGTGGGAATGTTGCCTGGGATCAGCAACAAGAGTCTAATATATATGACAAGCTGGTAACATTTCTAATAGTGTTTCATTTTTATAGGAAGATTTCTAGACCAGAGAGCTCATAAATTAAATGCTGTAGAGTAGCACCTCTGTGCAATATAGTGAATTTACTATGTATTTTGTGAAAAAGCATTTTGGGTAGATGCTTTCTTTCATTTTGTGACTCTCAAGGAGGTGAAAACATTTCTTTCCTTCTCTGGAAGCAAGGCCCTGTTAGTTTCACTTATCTCTGCAAAGTGATAGTGCAAACACTTTGTCAAGAGGCCTGAACAATTACAGACTTCTTAAAGTAATTACTTTCAGCAAAGTCAAGTGCTAGAAAATTCAGACTTAATTATTTCACCGGCAATGGTTGGAACATGAAAGTGCTTTGGATTGTGGAAATACTACATACAGATATAGCCCAGTCGAGAAGGAATCCAAGCCCAGAACCAGAGGCCTGGAAACTCAGTTTGAAAGTGCTCCATAATCTATCATGCTGTTGCTAAGAGGATATTAATACTAGCATTTAGAATTGCAGTCATGTGTCTGACAATCCTGTGTTTGTACCAGCAGGTCAGTTGACTAATTGTGAATTGGAACTTCTCTGTGCACTGCACTATTTAGAAGAAAAAGGATGACAGGGGTACAGTTAACCATTAAGGCATTTGGGCCTGGGAGGGAAAGCAGAAGACAATCAAGTCCTTATTATTAGATTCCTTCCTGCAAATCACTCCCTTATGCAGTTACAACAGAAGGAGAATTCACCTTTTAAACTGAGTAATTGTGCCTGTCGGGCAACCCTTTACAATGACTTTACCATCCAGCAAGAGCTCATTGATTGCATTAAGGATAACAGTACTCCACAGAAACAATCCTCTTAGGCAGGCTACTTCCAAAACCCTGTGTCTCTGTCAGGCAGCTGCCTGCTCTTTGAATAGCCAGAGAGATAAAGAAATAAAAATATTAAAGGCCAAAGCTCTTCTGATTTCACAACACTCTTTAAAGCCGGATGAGTGATTAGGGTGTTTGTAGCCTGTTAAACACCCATGCCTCAGGTGGAATGTTCCTCTGAGCACGTTTTACAGCAAATGTGAGACTGGTGTCTTGCTTCAGCTCCAAAAATACGCCTGCTTAAGCAGCCCTATAGAATTCCAAGTTAAAATGCAAGCCCCAGTGACTGTGTGTCTTCAGCAGTTGATAACAAACTACAATCAAAGCCTTTCTCTTTTAGATTACCAGCAAGAATCTAATCCAGGTCAGTGATAATCCTCCAGCATCTATTTAGCAATGATCCAAACAGACAGACTGTTCCATCACAAAAGTCACTGTTTCTGACATGGCTGCAGAGACTGAATGAGGATGGAGATTCCTCCTTTACTGTGGAAGCTAATTAGATTTGCAAGTAGACAGGAGTGCTGAACTAAAGCACAAGCATAGTGTTTCATTGTCAGCATCATCATTAAATAGCCTTCATTTGCTATTTAACAGAGTGGTAGAGGGGAGAATGATAACCCTTGATTTAATTACTGAGAGTTTCCCATCTTCTGTGTCTGGGACACATTTGTCAAGTATTCACTGATCTTATCACTCACCCCTCTCAGAATCCTCAAATGAATCTCTGACTTCAAATTCATTATTTGCTACTATAACACAACCCTCTCAATTTGGATTTTACTTCACTATTGTACGTGTCTCATCTCATTTTTAGATTTTTTTGAGTTCCCTTTCACAATGCCAAGTTGCCCCAACCTTTCCCATTTTTTCTGTGAAGTCCATTCTCTCCTCCTTCAAAAGCTTCCTGTGGGTCCTATACAAAAGCCTCCTATACAAAATGAAGGCTTGGTCCAGGAAGCAGCCTAGGCAGTCTGTGTTTACAGGAACAAACCCTGATTTTTACAGAGGGTATTAACTTGACACTTGGTGGTCTCCTGGTTCCAGCCTTATTATTGTGATAGAAATGCCTTTGGACCAGCATGTTTCCCTATGTGTTCTTGGTAAATTTTTTTTTTTCATTTCCCCCCACCCACTTCCTTTTGAGGATATTTATTGGAGAAATTTCTTCTCCTTTTTTTTTTCCCCTAGAATTCAGACTGAAAATCACACACAATATGCAACCAGTATATTTCATCTCATCAGGACTACTCTGACACTTACTAGTCTACCAACTGCATAAAATGAAAGACAATACATACAGAAAGCCAATTAGATTTGGATTACTTTGGCTGTTCAACAGCTGGGGCATAGCATATGTCTGTTTTCCCCATGGTAGAGTTAGGAATTAACATTTTACGTGCCTGACCTATCTAATCAACATATATCCTGACCTTACAAGAAACATTCAAAAATGAAGGTAATGTGGCTATGCCAAAAAGTGCAATAAGCCAGGTTAGATACGAAGAGGTAATTGATTAAGCAGGTAACATATGTAAAGTTAAGCTTGAAGATATAGTGCATTTCCATCCTCTTCTGGGCTATTAAAGTAAATTAATGATCTAGAGCTGTGTAGGGGTTTCCAGAAAAAACACTATAATGGCCAGTTGGCCACAGTTTACAGCCTCCTCCTCCTCCTAGAAGGGGGAGATGTTTATTCTTCATCTTCAGGAAATTGCCAGCTCAAGCTTCTCACTATGTATACTTTATATCTGTATTCATAGTGCAGAAATGACAACTGAACATTAGAATAACACCAATGAATACAAAATATGATGTTGGCTTGGAAGAAAATGAACCAATCATAATCTTTGACAGGGTCCAGATATTTTCAAATTTTCACAATACTTTTTTCCATGCTTATAGTTTGGCAGCTGCTCAAAAGTACCTGGTTTGTGCTGTTTTACAGTCCTGCATGTGTCAACCAAGCAAAAAGAATTTAAAAAAAACTTTGCAAAATACAAAGGGGAATAAGTAGTGTAGGCAGTGACTGCCAGACACATAGCTATGAAGCCAGGCTTACTTCACTATCTCCAAAACTCGCCTATCACTGTTCTGTGGTCCCCATAGGAAAAATGTTTTCCATCCAGGTTCAGACTGAGTCTTTGATGGTGCTCAAGAATTCTAAAATTTCACAGCACTCTTCAGCATGCTGTGTGGAGAGGGAGGGACTGGCATGCCCTGGTCATCCTGCATGGCTTGCTTCTGGCTGAAGGCTCAGCATCCCCCATGCCTTGGGCTGCTCAGGCCGTTCCAAACCTCTCCAATCTGTAACACCAACGAGCCATGATGCCTTTTCAGTCAACTCTCCTCTCTGTGTTTCCTGGGAAAAGTATTGAGAGATTTGCTGACTGCTTTTTATAAACCTGGCCACCGCAAGAGCTGACAGCCATTAGAAACCAAAGGAACAAAAGGCACAGGAGCCTTTATGCTGTTTTTGAGCGCGTTACCTTTGGTTTGTGTCATTCCCCTGGACTCCCCAGACGTGCAGTGGAGGGACAGCGGAGAGGGGTGCGTATGTGTGTGTGCACGTTGGTGTGCGTGTGCATGTGTGTGTGTGCGTGAGCGTGTGCAGGGTGCGTGTGTGCGTGAGCGTGTGCGTGAGCGTGTGCATGTGTGTGTGTGTGTGTGTGTGCATGTGTGTGTGTGCGTGAGCGTGCACGTTGGTGTGCGTGTGTGTGTGTGTGTGCGTGAGCGTGTGCATGTGTGTGTGTGTGCGTGAGCGTGTGTGTGTGTGTGTGTGTGCATGTGTGTGTGTGCAGGGTGCGTGTGCATGTGTGCGTGTGCGTGAGCGTGTGCAGGGTGCGTGTGCATGTGTGCGTGTGCGTGAGCGTGTGCGGGGTGCGTGTGCATGTGTGTGTGTGTGTGTGTGTGTGTGTGTGTGTGTGTGTGAGCGTGTGCAGGGTGCGTGTGCGGTGTGTGCGGTGTGTCCGCGAGTGTCACCATTCTCTGCCGCCGCGTGCCCGCGCTCGGGGGTCTCTGCGGGCGCGGCGGGGGCGCGGAGCGGGGCCGGGGCCGGGGGCGGTGCAGGGGGCGGTGCAGGGGCCGGGCGGTGCAGGGGCCGGGCGGGCGGGGGCTCGCTGCTCCCGGCCGGTGTCACTTACGAGCCGCCGCCGCCGTGCATGCAGGCGGGCAGGCAGGCAGGGACGCAGCCGGCAGGCAGGGACGCAGCCAGCCGGCCCCGCAGGAAGCCCCGCGGAGCCACCGCGGCCGGCGGAGACCATGATCCTCACACGTAAGCTCGGCTCGTTTTGGGGGTGGCGGCTCTGCGCATCGCGAGCGGCGTTGGTGGAAAGTGCCGCGGGGCAGCGCATGGGGCAGAGGGAGACGGGATCCCGCTGCTGTTGTCCCGCAGCAGCCGGGAAAGCAGCGCTGGCAGGGGGCGGCTGCCCCGTCCCGCGGGGCGCTTGGCCCCGCCGCCCGTCCGTGTGCGCGGGTGAGCAGCGCCGTCGGGGCGGCGGCAGCCCCAGGTGAGACGGGAGCGCTGCGGGAGCCCGGGGTTGCTGCTGTGTCTGCGGAGCGCCCGCGGGGCTGTGCTCGGGAGCGCGGCTGAAAGGGTTAACAGCGCAGGAGCGGAGGCGCGGGGGTACCGCGGGCGCGGAGCGCCGCTCGGGATGCCGCCGCTCCCTGAAGAAGCCCGTGGCGCATCTTTCTTTTTCGGTGGTTTGGTTTTGGTTGGGTTTTTTTGGATTTTTTCCGTTTCCTCTTTCTCCCCCTAATTTTAGTCTTTCTCTGTTTTGGGTGGCTTTTTTTCTTTTTTTGGGAGCCCTTGCGAGACGGGAACCGTCGAGTTCCTTTTGAAGTTTTCCGTAATTAGCCCGATGGCCTCCAGGAGCCCAGTGGCTCCTCCTGTGCGGCGGTGGCCAGCCCTGATGTCACCCCCGGCGGCTTTGATCCCGGTGGAGGAGCAGCACCTCCTGCCAGACGGGCTCGCCCCTACCCCCCTCTTCCTTTTTCCCTTCTCGAGGAAAACAGAAAGCCGATGCCGTTTTCCAGTCGGTCAGTTTTACGTTCCGTGTCACCCTCCCTTTCTCTGCAAACCACAGCAATGACTTAGTTCCACCGAAACCGTGAAGTTGTTGAGCGATGTGTTGCCATTAACCTAATGAGCTCTCTTGCCTCACAAGGCACTTACTATTGGTACTATTGGTATTCTGGGTTTTTTTTTTTTTTGTCCCCTCATATTCTCTTTGGGAAAATTTGAAGAAATAACTACATCTAAACAATGTATTTAGCTAAGTCAGAAGGCTCTGCTGATGTGTCATAGTACTTAACACACCTGATTTGAAAGACTGAGGAATGCACTTTTATCTTAGCCCTCAATTATTTTATTTTTTTTACAGGAGTAAGTGTGATCTGTTTGAATTGCCCTGCCCTGATCAAGAAATTCCTGACAGCAGTTCAATAACAATTCTCTGAGTCAGGTTATGTTTTAAGGCTATTTGTAGTGAACTTAAGGAAGATAATAGGCAGATTTCTTGTGAGCCTCTGAGTATGAATCTGTCAACAGTTCAGTGCCAGACTGATTCAGCATCTGTCTGGCAAGCAGGCCATTGCTGTCTGACAGCACATGGAGTTGGTATTAGGTGTGTCTGTTGATGCCACAGCTGTAGCCTACAATAGAGTATCTATCAGGTGTTATTACTGCTGTCCCCTAGGCATCCTGCTCTGCATCTCCAGTAGAATCAACAAAAACAAAAAGGCTGACATGGCCAGGAAGTGGGATGGATGTCCCTCAGATTAATGGGTTTGGGTCACTACTTCAGTTTGCTGATGGGATCATAATTAGGATTGAGATTCTTTGATTATGGAACAAAGTATATGTAAGAGAAGATGTAGATATTGTTTTGACAAGATTCTTTTCATCTACAAGTTCATAGAAATCAGAGCATTTGGAGCTATGTGACCTCTAGGAATTCTTGATCCCATCTTCTTTTAAAATAACTTGGGTTGCTAACTGTCACTTTTTTTAATCAAAAGGAAGTGCTAATACATTGTTTTAAACACCACAAGGCTTTAACTTCCTACATGTCATAAAATATTATTTCTAAGTGGTAATGAACAGCAAGAACATATCTGGTGGTTTTATTTGGTTTTATTTTTCACTAGTGTAGACTCAGTCTAGGAATTTTAATTCTTGAGTCAGGGTCTTCCCAGCTGCTTCTGCAGCTGCCCTTGCTGGGCCAGAGAGGAAGACTGATGCTGCTCATGGAAACTTACAAATGCCCAGTGTATTTTGCCTCTGGTGGGGTGTAGGAAAAAGGTACTGTAGTTGTACTCATTCACTGATGTTGAATGCTTATATTAAGATTCCTAGAAAAAGGAGATGAGGTGGCTCGGTTTTACTTTTCTGGTTCTTCTGTTTCATTACATTCTAGGCAGTGGTTTGTTTGAGGCATGTGAATTTATGAGTTCCGCAAATATTTAGAGATGCAGTTTGCACTATAAATTTTCTTTTTCTAGGCAGAATACCACAGTAAGTTATGTTTGGGCTTCTTGAGAGATTCAGACTTCTCTTCCAATTCTCCTCTGATGGGAGTTTTGCTACTGGCTTGAGCACAACACAATGCACCCTCGGCTGGTTAAAAGGAGACAGAGGAAGAGAACTCATGTGCTTAACAGGATGGTCCTGTACAGTAAACAAGCACTTTTCATGCTTAACTATCCTTCCTAGCGACAGGAAGAAGGAAATGAGGCTATGCAAAAGGACCCTGACACATTTCAGACAATGCCAGACCCACCCTAGCATTCATACAGTATAGCCACAAGACTTGGGGAAATAAAAATAACTTCAGATGTTTCCCCTTCCTTCCTGTGCATGTTATAGAAATACAGCAATCAAATGATATGCAGTTCACAGAAAATTTGCTGGTTTGATCTCCACTAAATAAGGACATGATGCCCTGTGTAATTTATATTCTTTGCACACCATATTGTTCTGCTTACGGTTTGAATCTTGGTGTTTCAAGGTGAATTAATTACAAAATTCTATATTCTATACAGTAATGTAGTAGGTGTAGATATACAGCAATTTTGGTAATTTCAGCAATTCCAGGCATATTTCTTGCTTGTATCTAAGAAATCAGTAATTCTCCATGGCGCAGGGTATCAGGGTCTTGCATGTTTTTTGATTTCCAAAGTTTTTTGCAAAGTCTTTTTGTTGTTGTTGTTGTTGTTTTCTTTTTTTATTTATTTTCTCATCTATTTTCCCTCCTCCTGTTCAAAGGAAAAAAACAAATTCTGTCTTCAATGATGAGCAATTTTAATGAAAGGCACAGGACTGGGCTGTGAGTGGAACTTTCTGGTTCTTTTTACTGGACACTTACTTGGCCATTCTTGCTGACAGTGCTACCCTATCCCACTCAGCTCATCTTTGAAATCAGTAGATCTGCTAGTACAGTATACCATTGGCAAATTTGGCAGAACCAAAAGAGAGTTGAGAATGACTTGGCCACCTGGCTGTAATTCATTCAGTTTCATTATCTGAAAGTTATAGAGTGTGACAAGCATTTTTATTTCTTAGGATGAATATTCTTTCAAATATTGTCTAGTATTTGTTTCCCTTGGGAAGGACTGTGGTAGGTGAGACAGGATCAGGAAAAAAAGGTTATCTGGTCTCTCCTTATAAAGACACAATAGGATGGCTCACTTATTTCTTGTGGGGCATTTTTTTCAAAGTCTAAAGGGTGCAGAGTTCTGTAGATCTGGGTTTAAATATATTTTTTATAGTTGTCTAAATCTTTCTATTCAAATGCAGTGGTCTGTACTAAGAATGATTCCTGAGTAGATGCCTGAAAGACAGTTGCTGAAGCCAATGGTGGACACAGTTTGACCTTCCCAGACCTGTTCTTATAATTTACTGAAGTTTCAGTAAATTATCAGATTATTCAGTAAATTATTTAGATTATCAACAATGCATGCCCCTCTGCCCTCCTCTCCCATCACATTTTTGCATTTTGGGGATGATGTCTCTGTGACCCTGTGGACCCATAGAATTTGATGTCCTGCTGGCCACCCTTCCCTCTGTTCTCCATGAATTGTAAGAACAGATTTCCTGTGCACATAAGACAGAAGAAACTTTCCAGTGTAAAGCTTCATGATCTGTTTTAACTTTCCTTCTTCTTCCATCCATACAAAATGTGACCACTAGATCTTGTATTGAGAGAAGCATTTTCAAGTATGCAGTATCACAGACAATACTGCAACTGTCTCTGCTATCTAAAAACAGGGCATTCATAGTAATATTTGCTTTGGAAAAATCCATGTTTACATCTTTAATTCTGCATCAGGGAAGAAGGCATTTGTCTGTGATGCAATTAGCTTTATGCTGGGCTGTTCACTGTCAGTGGTATTTTGTATCTAGTGTTGTATCATCCCCACAGGATGATACAATATAGTTTGGGACTGGATCATCAATGAGGTTAACTGTAAATGGTTATGATGGAAAGGCAGTCATTCTTCCGTACAGTTCTTCCTACATGCATGGATAGTTTTGAGGTTACAAGCTCAAAGAAGTAACTGTCTAGAAAATCTATTTTCTTTTGTAGGAACCATTGAGCCAGTTCAGATCAGTTCTTACAGCATTGTTATTTCCTAGATCTGAACAGGTAGCTCACATTTTGTGCCTGTTTTAGATGAGTACCTGTCATGCTGGGCCTGCTCACCTTTGCCTCCCTCTGGAGCTGAATGAGCCTTTGAGCTGAGCTTTGCACACCACAAGCTTGCAGGCAGGGGCAATTGGTGCATTTTAGTGCTGGGCATGGGACTAGCAACAGTTAATGTTTGCCCTTCAGTATGTTCTCAAAGGTCATGCTGACCAAGTAATTTCTGAGAGAAGAGAAGGTTAAAGTCATCTTCTATTTCCCACTCTTTGGAGGAGGATTTGGTTCTCACTCTGGAATCTGTCAACATGACCTCCATCAGAGGATTTGACTAACTGCTTTCTCTGCCCCAAATAATCCTCCTCCAAGACCACCCTGTGTTAAGCAGGCCAGATAAATAACCCACGTGCCCAATTATTTCTTGAGGGTTTTTTAAGTCATTTGACATCTTGTTCCTCTTCATCTGTGAACCTTCTTAAAAACAAGATGGGAGAAGACCATCTTTAACCTATAAAAAGAGTTGTTATATGACAGGAAAACTGCCACATCAAGCTATAGTTTTCTGATTAAACAAAGTTAGTTTTTATCTTCAGATCAATTGGGTTTTAAATTTATTTCCGAATTC